AAAGAAAGCAGACGTACCCGTCCAGCCATTTTGGTGGGGAGGCCGGTATCGGGGTCAATCGCCAGGTCCTCGTCGGAGTGGTACGAGTTGAGCACGACGTCGAACGAGTGCGCGAATCCCGCGTCCTCGCGGCTCGCGGGCCCGATGAACACGATCTGAATAATAATAAAGCCAAATTGAGCACAGGAAAAGGCGGCGAACGCGCGGCTCACGTTAGGAAAGTACTTCGCGTACACTTCACGATAGAAGTCGAGGTTCACGTCGTACCGCGCGTGGCTGAAGAACACGATCAGCAGCACGCCGTCGAACGCGTGGTAGTCCCTCTCCCACAGTGGGCGCAGGGACGCCGGGGCCGTGCGCGGGTAGCAGTGCGGGTGGGAGGCCTCGAAGCGGAAGAGCTGCGCGACGGACGGGGGGGACTGCGGCGCGCTGGGTTGGGAGGCGTGCGATACCAACAGGACAAATAAGATGGATGTGATCCCGAGGAAACGTAGGGGCGAGAATGTCTGTTACGCCGCTCAGATCATTACGGAACGAGGAGAGAGAGAAAGCGTACCTCGCGCGCGAATTCGTCGCTCGGCGCGCCGTGATCGAGGTACGCGTAGGCCGCAACGAGAGCAACGGCGCATCCGCCTAGCGCGCCGAAGGTGAACAGACGCGCGAGGAGCGTGGAGCCCGCCAGCCAGCAGAGGTTCGCTAATGTGAGTAGGACGGAGACCGATACCACGTCGTAGCCTGTTTGAAAAGCAAAATTTAAGGGTTTGTGCGCCCAGGGTAGAAGTAGGCTCACTCCGCAGTGTCAAGAGCACGCACAGCCCCCGGCAGCATTCAACCGCAAGCAGGAGAGCGCCGAGGAGATCGAAACTCCGGGCTATGGGCAACACGTCTTTTGCCGATGAAGCACGGTCGATGCCCGCTAGTGCGAGCGCAACAGCCAACTTGGCACCGAAAATCACCACGGCAAGCCGCGCGAAGGCCGCGAAGGACCGGTCCAGTCGTCGCAGAGTCTGAAAATCAAGACATACATAGGTTAATTGATAAAAGATTCTTGATGGAAGGGCGCACGTAGTAACTGGTTATGAACGCCAAAGCGCTCACGAGGGCGAAGCTCGTCGCGGGCGAGATGGAAGAGTGAATGAACCGCGCGGAGACGGTGCTCTGCGGGTACATATAAGAGACCAATCACAATTATGTATGGAGCAGATACGTGCCTTTACCATGTATAATCCGCAGAACTACGAAGCCAACAAGTTCATGGTGAGCGAATCGACACGAGGAGGTGGATATTCACCTGCAGTGCGACGTTGGCCCACGTTGCCGACGCGACCGCTCGTCTGAACGCCAGCTCAAGATAGCCGAGTAAGAGGAGCGTGCACGCGGGCAGCGCGGCGTGCAGCTCCGTCAGATTCGCGACCTTGGCGCTCTGCGCGTCCTTTCAAACGCGTCAGCCATCTGGGTGCATTCCAGGCTTGTACAGAGCAGGACTAACTGTGAACGCCTGCAGTGCGTACAGTGCGCCGATGGCCCCGCCGAGTGTGTAGAACCGCGCCGAGCCCGTGGCAATCGCGCTAGTGGATGCGGAATCAATGGCAGCCTCCGCGTCGGGCTCATCTTCATCCCGCTCCCGCTCGAGTAACTCGTAGGCTTTTGAGCCCGAGCCTGGCCGCCGGACGAGGTACGCGCCTACGAGCACCACGGCGAGCTGCGCGAGGTCTACAGAGAGGTGTTCGGCCCGGCTGCCTACGAGTGGTCCGCGTCGGTCGCGGAGCGCTTCTCGGGCGATGCAGGAGGCGAAGAGGAGGAGCTACACGGATGTATGCCTTAGCGGATTCCATAGCTGAAGCTAGCGCTGAAGTGTAGACAGGCACACCGGTGTCCGGCTCTTCCGCCACATGTCGCAATGTCAAATGGACTACTTAGCACTATTTTTTTTGCTGGCCAGAGGTTCAAGGGCTTTCACCAGGAAGACAAGGTCAACGTCGTCAGAGCTCAAGCGAGCGCTCAATATAGCGGGTGTAGTCTATCATGCCCAGTCCCCGAAACGTTGTGATGGCGCTGAGCGCCTATTTCAAATAAGCGCTCGTCTCGCTTCGTGTTCATATTTTCAGCGACACATTTATTTCGCGTCTTCTATTTGCGACGCGTCCTCTGCCCTCTTTGTTTCGTACGCTTGAAGCATCACAAAATCTCCAATGTCAGCTCCCCGAATTCGAACCAGATTCGAACCTCCACAATCCCATGGCCAATCTGTCTGGATTCGGCCCTTACTGCGGCCCTCGTCGCGGAAAATTCTCCCCGAACTTGGTTCAAATCCTAGATGTTTTTCCTACCCCACTACTTGAACTCGCTGAGAACTCACTGTTCCTATATGCACGTTCGCCTCGGATCGAGGCCAATGTCCAAAAAATGACTGCATATATTCCGAGCTGTCTCATTGCCTGAAGCAGCATCAACATCGTCAACCTGTCCTCGCCTACTGAATGTTGCACTGCCAGGAACTCGAATCCGGATCCGGATCCGTGTCAAGAAATTTGGTGTACCTCGATTCTGAACGTGTTGCATGAGATCTCAGAATGGGTGATGTTCACTCTTACCTGCCCATACCCCTGGAAATTCAAGCATCAGGACACGAAGGAGTGTAGCCTAGAACAACGTACATCCGGTTCTCCCTTGTCTATCAACAGCAGTGAAAGCAGGTGTCGTCAGACCTTTGTAATTCGCATTCAGACGGATCCCATCGGTATGAACAATGTCTCCCGGCGAGGGAGAGAGCCAGCCACGGATGCCATCTTGTGTCCGGAATGGCGGCGCGTAATACGAAGATGGCGGGGCGGAAACGACCAACAATGGCCTGTTGTGCACTCCTGCGCGGCGTTCCGGCTGGACGAGAACGATCGGGTCCTCCTTTGAGGCTCCATATGTATCAGCGATGAAGGCTTGTGACGCCTGTGCTCGGTCGGCCGCCACATCTGTGAACAGTTCTGCAAATTCATAGATCCGCTTACCCTCCAGCTTCGCGATACGTCGCTTGACTGAGGAGACGTTTCGCGGCGGAGGGATCAGCTCTCGGTCTATCCTTCCAAGTGAGGGTTCGGCCGAGTCGAAAGAACGCGCGGATGCGGCTTCGCTGACCTGGCTGTACAGCCGATAGTAAACTGCAAGACCAATATCTTGTCATCATCATGATACGCGCTTTACTGCAGAAGGACTCACGCCATTGACAACGGTCATTATCGTCCAAATCCGAAACATGCACGGTAACGTTGGGCAGCTCGGCAACAAGGACAAGTGCCAACGGCGTCTGTGGCGTCGCACCAATTTCCCCGGTCAAGACTTCCACACGTGTTTCACCAGCCATCGGAGTCCGCGCATCTTTGGTCTGGAAAATGTTAGTGAGCTCCCCGGGGAATCGGGCAGCCCTTCAGCATGTACCAGCGCCCTCTTCAGCGAGGCGACAGTGTGGGGAGGAGGGACCGCCGTGGCCTTGATACGCCCGATGAAGGGGTTATCCATGCCGAACGCGCCTTTCGGCGAAATCGGGCCATCGAACCCGTAGACACGGTAGTAAACTAATCGGTGTCAGTGCCAGCGAAGGAAGGAGGATTGAGTGGATATGCACGCCACCCACCGTAGCAGGTGCCTCTGGGTAAATCCACCCCCTTCGTAGTAAGGCCCATTCCTTTGTTTGGGCTCATATCATCCGTGTAGCCGGTTGGGGGTTCTTCTCCCAAGGCGGTCTTTGTGTCCATGCTACTGGTATCGGATTCTGCGTAGCCAGGCGGGAACTTCGCCTCTGGGATGTATGAGGGCATGAGGAGTGCGTGGTATTATAGTTGCGCCTGCAGGCGTTTCGCGGGGGAGACGATAGATGGTGGCCACCGCAGTAGCCGTTCAAAGACCGTGCTGTTTGCTCTTATTGATTAATTTCCAATCTCATCTTGCTCTCATCGTCCACATAAAATATATTCGTAAGAACACTAATTTTTTTCAGTCCGCTCTCCGCACCGCTGAATTTTCCTCAAGACAAAATACGTTCGAAATTGGGGATATCGAATCACTTCCAGCGTTAAGTGGCGAGGTGAACAGTGGTTTATGGTGGGGATCCATTTCCCACGGTTCAACCAATCCGGCTTGTTCCTTCGCGTATCAACCCTAATCCGAAGCTCTTGGCCTCAAAGCCTTTCGCTGCATTCAGCCAGGTCCTGGTAGATCGTTAGTCTCAATGATCTGGCGGGTCGAGCTGCAAGCAGTGATCCATTTCCCACGGTTTAACCAATCCCCTGTATCAATCAACGACCCTTCGTTGTTCTTCATCCAGTCCTCGTAGATCAATGCCCCTAGATCAATGCCCCTTCGTAATGCGATTGCTTGGCCGTTGAAAAGTTATGAAGGTGTTGTGAGTTCGACTCTAGCCGAGAACGTATCGAATGGAAGCACTTTTTTTCCACTTTTTCCTTTTCCTTCGAAGTTCGCACGCCTTTCCCCAGTCCACCACCTCACCTTTGAGCTCTACATGCCAACCGAACGACGCAGCGATTATCATACTTATTCCACCATCTTCGAGCCTGAGACCTCCTTCACCCAACCGAAAACTCGAGTGTCCGTTACCTATCCAGGCTTTTTTTTTCTGTCTGAAAAATCACCTATCAACAATTCCCAAATTCCAACCGCAGCCGTTCGGTCTGCCTCTCTGCAGCCTTTCCAAATTTCACTCCATTTCCCGCATCGACCTCGTACGCCTTGTTCTGAGCCTTGTGCCCTTATTGGCAAGCGCTTGTAGATTGGTGGCAGATCAGTTTCTCCAGTTCACATCTGTCCATGATCCTGTATGAAGGTGATGTGGGTTTGAATCCCACTGAGGGTACTTTGTATCTTTTTATATTTACTTTCAACTTGATCGAAAAGGCCCGCCCGCCCACGCAAAAATTATCTCCCACCGGACGACCAACGGGTTCCAAAACCCTCCCTTACTACCTACCACCCCTGCAGCAGACCTACAAGCCCTCGTAGATCAGCGGCAGATCTCCTTCATGAAATAGAAATCTGTGCTCCAACCTTATGAAGGCGACGTGGGTTCGACTCCCACCGAGGGTAGTGACTTCCGCCAGTTTTTGCCCCGCAAGCCCAGGCCTGTTTTTCCTCAATCCCGACCCGACCCGCTGCCCCCGTCATCCCGGTCCCACCCGCTTCACCGGACTCACCCTCCGGATCCACCCGCTGACTCCATTATCCGGATCTACCCGCCCCGGCCCCTGACCTACCGAGACCGATGATTGTCCAGTGGATGTCATCGTAGATACCAACAAATTCATGGTCACCACCCATCTAAATGTAGTCAAAGTCAAATCGTATAATTTATGCTGCATTCTAAAGTGTCAAAAAGTGCAAGTGCAATGCGTATCGTTATCGTCTGGTCATGATCGTCTTTTCTCCTCCTCAAAAAATCGACAGAACGCGCATCTCACTCAAAACTCAAAAACCGCCCAAACACCCGTCCCCCTCGCCCTCGGCGCCAAACCCACCGACGCTCACGCCCTTGAGGGAGCGGCACAGCGCGGTGACACGGCACTTGTCCTTCTCCCGCCGCTCGGACTTGTCCTTCTTCTCCTTGGGTGTGGCGGACGATTGGCGCGGGCGCGGGGGGGACGGGTCCATCACCGGAGCAGCGGGCGCGGAATGGATCCTGCGCGGGCGCGGGGGCGACGCGCGGGGGTAGGGCGTGTCCCGGTCCTCCTCGTACCCGTCCTCCTCGGGGACGGGCACCGGGGAGCGGCGCCGCCGCCGGCGCTCGGGCTGCGCTGGCGCGGGCGCTTGTGGATGCGGTGCGGATTGCGGGTAGGTCGGATATGAGGACACAGGGGAGGGGGCGTAGGTCGGGTAGGTCGGGTAAGAGTACGAGGGGTGGGGCGGGGCCGATTGGGGCGCGTAGGCGTAGGGCGAGCCGTAGTACTTTCCGCCACCTGCAATGAAGTGAGACTTGTGATACTCGGGAAGAGAAGAAACAGACCAGTTACGAACGACGTTGACGCGGGCTCGGGCGGGGGGCTCGTAAAGCCGTCAGACTCGTCGCTCTCGGAGCTGAGGTCGGGGATCAGCGCGGGCGGGGCGCTCTGCGGGGGTGGCGGCTGCACGTACGAGTACGTCGGGTACGTTGGCTGGGAGTATGAGTGGGTGGCGTAAGGCGGGTGAGAGTAGGCGGAGGCGGGGGCGGGGTACGAAGGGTGGGTATACGAATGGTGGAGGGAAGCGGGCGCGGAGTAGGGCTGGGGTATTGGCGGGGGGACGGGCAGCGGGATGTATGGGCTCGTCCGCGTCGGCGTCCTCTCCTCGTCTTGCCCGTCACGGTCCTCTCCTTCGTCGTCGTTCCCTTCAGGCGCCCACGCAGCGATGGCACGCGGGTGGAGGTGCCCGCGTGGCTTCATCTTCTTGTCATGGTTTGTATTCAAATTGGCGAATGCAGGCACAGGGCGGTGGCGCTTGCCCTCGTCGTAGTACGTGCGGCCTGGGCAGCCGCGGGCGGGGAGGGCACATGTATTTGGGGCGACCTCGATGGGGGAGCGGTCGTACAGCGCGGAGGAGTGGGCACTGAATGTCCTTGTGAGGCGCGGGGACGGCGGGAAGTGCACCTCCCGACCACCACTGATGGGGTATCCGCCTCGTTCATTAACATCTGCACTTGTAGCCCGCTTCAGAATCGGGTGGGGCATCTTCTTCTCTTGTCTCTGTCTCGGATTGTCTCAGTCTGGGGTCTTGTCGTCGTCGTCGACGTCGACGACCTCGTCGGTGCTCGACGTGGGTGGTGGTGGTAACGCTAGGCGCACCGGCGTGGGTTACTGGGATATACGAGACATGGTTCGGGATGCTGTGGGGTTTTGAGGGTTCGGATAAAGTAGGAAGATAAAGTAGGGAAGAGAAATCGATTGTTGTTTGTATACCGGTGCCAGTTGCTGGAAAAGAAGCGTCACATGTGACAGTCACACCGGACTAATGCCATGCCACCCGATTCTGTTCCACCGAGCGCTGCTGCCCAATGCGGTAATCCCATATCCATTTCATTCCTCACTGCCATGCTCCGCGTCCGCTGATCCAGGAGCCATTGTACTCTCTTGTTTTCTTTCTTGTTTTTATTATAATCGTCAGAGGAGAACTACGGAGCCACCCACCCGGCTGTCGGCGTAAATCCCTCACCTGCCAGAGTGGCGTCCAATCTACTCGTAACCCCGCCGCCATCGCATGCGCCATACCCCGGTGTCAGCTACCCCCTTGTCGCCTCTTTGCTTCCTCCAGCCAAGTTCAAACCCGATTTCCTTGTACCGACTCTGACAAGCCGTCTCTGCCTTTCCGCTCCTCGCGTTCCCTTCCGGACGGCGAGGAAGATATTATCCCCGACCACCCGATCTGTCCGCAAAATGCGAGTTGCCTCTCGAAGCGCAGCCTTGGCTGACACACAGACGGTGGCTCAGCTCCACGGCCTTGCGTCTATAGCGAGACGCCGGATCCGCGTTGTTTCGAACCTTCGGAATCCTTACTTCACCTATGTGTGAGGGCGGGTAGATCAGGCACGTTCGCCCTCTCCTCTTTGATTCAATCCGTGCCCGACGCGAGAGTCCGGCAATTTATTCGACGCGAACCCGTGCCACTGTTCTGTCAATGCAGTCTATGTTTGCGTTTCCTGTCATACGATCTCCCATGTTTTTCCGTGGGAACCAGAGAATCTCTTCTCCAACTCTTCTCTTCTCCATTGCCAAAATCTCCAAAATTTTCCCGGGTGACATCACCTCGAGGCTCATCCCCTTCAAAACCACACATCCCATTGGGCATCTATGTCTGTGCCTTCCGACGTCTGGACTGTGCCTAGCCTAGCTCATGTCTGACGATGGGCGCGATAAGCCCGCCTGACCGCTCGCCGGACCCGGCGTACCTGGACTATAGACGATAGTACAGTCCGGCTGACGACGCGCCAATCAGCACGGTTACGACGCGTGCATACGGCATCCCGCATCAGATTCCCAAGCCCGTCGTCGACGCGTGCATACGGCATCAATCAGACAGACGTCGGCGCCCGGTCCGAGCCCTTCCCAACCGAATTCAATTTCATGCGCACGACGCCCACGCCGCGGCGAAGGAGCGCTCCACTGGTGATTCGATTCACCACATCCTTGCCTAGACTACGGCAACGGAATCAAGAACGTGCGGCGGGTAGGAGGGCGGGATCAGAATCACCGCGGGTGCAATTTCGGTTGGACGCGTCGCGCGCCCCATGGGGCACGTACGCTACGCGCCGCGGGCAGCGAATGGCGGATGGCGCGCATTGACGTGGGCGTTTATGTTCGCAGGCGGAGGATAAGACTCGGCGACTCGAGAGAATTCGAAGGGACCGGGGCGAACAGAACGTGGCGCGTCATGAGTGAGTCCTTTCTTTAATTTTTCACTTTCTTCTGGATCTGCGGTTGCGATTGGGGAGTCGAGTACGTACACCGACGGCGAATACCCCGCTGTTCAATTTCAATGTCATTGAAAGGTACTTCACGCAGTTCGAAAGGCTGAGGCTATCTGGCGCGCAAATCACATTGATTCACAGGCACGGTGGGTATAAATATGCAAAGCAGAGCCTGAGTTGACCCCAGTCCCCAGAATATCCTCACCGACATCGATAATAGGTTTGTTAAAAAGCGCTCGCGGGAATATGTACATATCTGATAATAATCTGACCTCGACGACGGAAGGTCAACACCCATGGGATGTACAGCCAACTCTGTCCTAACCCATACGAGTTTGGGCTTTCAATTGGGGAACCAGGTCGAAAGTCAACCGCCACAGCAGTTATCTGGGGGCGCAAGCCACTCGCAAGCTCAAAAATACTTTGAAGAAAGGCTGTTCGACCTGCGCGACGGCAACCTTTCAACCACACGTCACGGGGCGGTGTATGTTGGAACGGAATGGGAAGGAAGGTTATTCGCGGGAGAGGACCCGACTCACCCCGCCGTTCAAAAATACTCCAAGTCCCACAAATTACAACCACTAGAGTCCTGAACCACGTCCGAATGAGGGGTAGAAATTGAATGACAGAGGTTATCGACCACCCGCACCGCAACGCACGCCCGATTGGCAATGACGAGGCTATATGTGTTCAAAAAAGAAAAGATACCATCTGACCTATTCAGTCACCCTCGAAAATGTTAAACGGCGTAGGAATCTACGCTGAGCGACGGAGAAGACGCCAATCATCCCGCTAGGATCTGTATACTAGCTGCTCGGAATTACTCGACGTGATTCGACTACGATCGTCACGGCATGTTCAAAAAATGACAAATGAATGGGAAGAAAGGTTATTCGTCTCGGTAAGCGACGGAGAAGATGAGACACAAATCATCCTACAGCGGTACCGGTCGCGGCAAAGACGGATGTCCTACAAGTCAACAACCATCACGGGGCATACGTTCCAACACCCCAATCGACATAAGATATACAAGAAAGCCTAACCGACATAGACTGTGCGACGGGGAGCACGGGGAGCGCGCGTCCCCGCACATCCCCAAAGATATGTGGATCGCGGGAGGTCAGCGCGTCGAGTCTCCGGAGATGCGCCGATATTACAATATTCAATTCCGGTTGAAGGCCAAGTTCAAGCTTGGCTTCTGCGATCACTCAGCCTATTACCCCACATCTATTTCTAACTTTGTCTGGTCTTATCACGTCGACCAACGGACAATATATAGATTGCGAGTGTGGGTGGCAGCCCGCATGGCGTCCACCGGAGATCCACGTCGTCGCCTCCTTGCCTCCGTCTTGTCGCCCTGCCAGCCGTCAACAAATGGGCTATTCCCGAAGTCGGACGAAGGACCCCCCTCGAAGAAGCTCGCAGCGCCGGGTCGATCCTTCCGAATCCATGTTCAAACTCGAACTCGAGTGACGCGTCGTCTAAAGATTACCCACGCAATACCAGGCCTAGGGCCGGTCCGGCGTGTAAACACGCACCCAGCGAGATCTGGGGTGTGAGGGGCCCTCGCGCCCCAGATCTCGTTGCACAAATAGCTTCAACCAGCCTTGAACTAGTCCTCAGCCCAACGCCAGGCCAAATTCTTCCGCATCCG